TTAGAACACTTAGAGATCACATGAATCCTACAAGAACGAGTGCACCCTCATGCATAGTTTCCCCCATGATGCATCTCATTTTAGTTTTAAGCTACACATTATTCAACTTTTACCTTCTTTTTATAGCTTAGATTTAGAAAATCCATACTTGCATTTAATGAACTTTGAGGAGGTCTGCAACACGTATAATGACTCAAATTGTAGCATGAACACCATCAGATTAAAGCTTTTTCCTTTTTCATTAAAAGATAAAGCTAAAACTTGCTACAAAATTTGAGACCTGGATCCATTCATTCTTGGGATGAAATGTAATAATAGTTTTTACAGATGTTTTTCCCTTTTTATAGAACAAACTCTTTCAAAAGACAAATCACTACTTTCACTAAAAAACTAGAAGAAATATTTTACCACTGTTGGGATAGGTATCGAGAGTTGCTTAATACTTGCCCTCATCATGGTTTTGAAAAATGGAGATTGGTTTCACATTTCTATGAAGGGTTAACATTTAGAGATAGATAAATGGTTGAATTGATATGCAATCCAACTTTTAAAGATAAAGACCCTGGTGAAGCAATGGAGTACTTAGACTTGTTAGTTGAAAATGCTCAAAATTAGGATATCACAGGTACTTGTGAGGCATCATGTAAACCTCAATCTTATACATCTAGTGGAGGTATGTATAGCTTTAAGGAAGATCATGACCTTTAAGCCCTTTTTTCATAGTGTAGCTAGGATGAATAAGGAATCCCTATAAGAAAAGGATTTTGAAACATTAATGAATCCTTGCCATGCTTGGAGATTATATTGCAGCTCATTAAAGATCCTTGTGGAACTAGAAAATTCCCAAAACCAGCTGCCACGTCCTTATAGGAAAAGAATCCCAACTTAAAAGGAAGTCCACATGTCAAATAGAAGTAAATAACAAAATTCATATAGCCGCTGTTTACCAGTATTGTGGAGCCTTCCCAAACTCCAATTGACCTGAAATTTTAACCTATAATAGGACAACATGTCTGGAGAGCCACATAAAATTTTAGCCCGATCCAACAATCGGATTGAGAGTTATAACTGTTGCCGTAAACCTGGACGATGCGAACGTCGTGATCACATGGTCACGCACCCCAGACGCAAAGGCACCAATTCCTGGAAAGCCAAGTAAATCAGGTTTGATAGGAGTGTGACACAAAGATAACTTGTACCTAGGCACCAACACTATTGGAAACGGAAAACCCCC